TCGAATGCGGTTGAAATATTTATTAAATAAAATAAAAATCTTTCGAGTAAACAGATTTACTCGAGCTCGCCTCGAATTCGAAAAGAGCCCAAAAATATATTCGAGAAATTTATTTTCTTGAGTTCGTCTCGAATTCGAAACGATGCCATGCTCGTTTTTGTGTTTATTAACCGACTTCCAAAAAAGGAGGAGGTTATCAGTTCGTCGGAATATTTTTAATTTTTTTTATTTATTTTTTTTATTTTTTTATGTATGTTACCGCATAACTTTGGACCACGTCAACCGATTTCGATAATTCTTTTTGCATCGGAAAGGTAGTGTCTCAGAGGTGGTCCCATACTAATCTGGTTAAGATCCGATCAGCGCATCATGAGATATATATATATATATTTTTTTTTTATATGAGAGTTGAAGTCGGTTTTTTTTGCAAAAATTTCTTGTTAAATAAGATCTTTCGATTGGTGTTATCAGTTTTTGGATATCTCCTTTAGTTTCCGAGATAATGAGTAAAATTTTGTCGTATTTACAAGTTCGCAAGCGACTCGGTCAACATTTTGTTGTATGCGACGAAAAATTTCACGTACGAAAAAATTTTCATAAAGTTTGATGAAATTCATTACTTGTTAATATCGAGCCCTAACCGCCAAAATAACGTAAGCGACATTTTTTTTTCGAAATTATCTTTTTGATGCAGAAATATTCCTAAAGTATCTAGAAGCATTTCTGCATCAAAAATAAAATTTTGAAAAAAATGTCGCTTACGTTATTTTGGCGGTTAGGGCTTGATATATTTTCTTATGTGACAAATTGTATGGTACATACGACAAAATCACACTAATCCTATACAATAGATAGTCGTATTTGCTACGACAACTCTTATTGACAAATTATTTAATATTTTGTTGATCTTCATCATTAATTTATATCTCAGGTGTATTAGAATCAATTTTTTGCGTACGAGCAAAAAATAATTTCAACAATTTCAGCCTTGTGCTTACTTACTCTGTGTGTTATTTGCAGTATGTAATACAGCTGGCTAGCGGTTAACGTGAAAATGCAACATACGACAAAATGATTTTATAAAAAAGTGGCTATAAGAGCTATATGAGTTGCTGAAAATTTAAGAAAATGTGGTTTTATGCTTTAAATAGTATGTACCATCAAGCATTAAATTTTGGTAAAAACGATTGTACAGCTTTTGAGAAATTGCGACTGAATCTAAAACATCGATTTCCCAAAACAACAATATTTTACGACAACGACAATATTTTGCCCAGGCGACGATAAGTATGTGCATATCGGCGTTTAAAGTACAAAACCGCATATGAGAGGTTGCATAAATTATTTTCTACAGAGTGAAAACACTCATATTTCTCAATGGTTATCTTTTTTATAAAGCAATCGCATTTCTGGCTAGTATATTTCAGGACGAATGGATAAGGATTGAGCCAAGGGCTTGTGTGAGCAAACACAATTTTTGGCAGCAAATGTCCAGAAACGCGGTTTTGCAGAATGACGATACGCGGTATTGTACTTTAAACGACGATATGTTAAATGCATTACCCTCTTATGACTCTTGTGTTCTGCATTATCACATCTTTATATTTTGACATTAGTGCATACATAGTATATAGATATATATATGTATGTATATGCTTTCTTACACATGCATAGGTAGTTATCGAATGAACCCAGAAACTTCGTCACGTTCTGGTCAGCTCATGCGTGTTTCGTGATTATTTATGCTTTTGTCATACATATAATATTTGTACATTAGTTAGTTAGTTAGTTGGTTGGGTAACGGCACTGCGACCGTTAGGTTTATTGTGCCCCTAGCTCATCACAACACCTCAAACAGCCCCGGAGTGTCTATAAACTTCATAATAGTCCCCGGGGACAGTGAGTGTATGTGCTCCTCTCTTGGCCAGACGTGCCCTATGCTCCTATACCTCCTGCGTGCAACGGCCTCACACTCTATAAGAAGGTGTAGGGGAGTTTCCCTGGCCGCATCGCAGAAGCGACACCGGTCGCTGGACCAGATACCTAGTTTGTACAAGTGCCCTCTGAGCCTACAGTGACTAGTCAAAAATCCTGTAATAACTCATTTTATCCTTTGGAAGATTCATGAGTAGCCTGTATCTTATCAGATTGTAACCTCCTAATATGCTTTTAGCCTGACGTTGACCCATAGTGCCACGCCACTGGGTCCCACTGCCAGAAAGGGCTCAGGTCCTATCGGGGTCGAGGAAGCGGCTAATCTGGCCAGATGATCAGCCTCCTCATTTTCTGTAACCCCCATGTGCCCAGGTACCCACATTAGTTGGATATCATTAGTCTCCGCCAGAGCATTAAGCCTCTCGACACACTCCAAAACCGAGGAGGACTTGATCTGGAATGATGAGAGAGCCATAAGTGCCGCCTGACTATCACTTAGTATAAGTATCCTTTCATTCCTATAGTTCCTGCTAATGTTAATCTCTGCGTACATACTGATGGCATAGACCTCCGCTTGAAAGATGCTTGGGAAGGTTCCCAGGGTCACCGAAAGCTTCAGCCTGGGGCCGTACACGCCTGCTCAAATCCCCGCAGGTGTTTTGGAGCCACCAGTGTACCACTGTATTGTGCTCGCCTGTATGTGCCTTTCCATAATAGAGGTACACCAGGTCGCCTTGCTATAAGTGTAGGTCCTGAAATTCCTTTTAAAGACAACCTGTCTGTTGATATCGTCCCTGGGAAACAAAGCCAAGGGGAGCTGGGTACCTAGCCTGTCCCTGTTCCTAGATGATAACACCTTGCCTTTGCCGAATCCCTCCCTCGCAAAGTTAAGGAGGGTTCGCTTTGCAACCTGTTCAACTGAGAGATGCAGTGGTTCGAGTTCCAGCATTACTTCCAGCGCTGCCGTCGGGCATGTGCGCATTGCTCCCGTGATGTCAACACATGCCAGACGTTGACGCTTCGAGAGGGTTTGCCTCACCGTTACCATTGTAGTCCTGGAATACCAAGCCACCGCACTATAAGTCACTATAGGCCTCACTATCATGGTGTACATCCATCTGAGGATCCTCAGAGTGCACCCTCAGGATTTACCCGCCCGACGTTTGCACACCATCATCGCTCTCGTGGCCCTAGAGGTGACCGCATCAACATGGGCCTTCCACAGAAGCTTGGAGTCCACGGTAAGCCCCAGATACTTAACCTCTGTGGCGACATACATTTGTAGTATGCGTATGGTTCGGGCATTCAGAACCTCAAGTTCGTAACATTGTTACGATCGCGGAAAATCGGGGCAGCCCATTTTTTGATTTAGTACAATGCCCTTACACGATAAAGTAGGTACTAGCATAACGTTTAGTGTAATTGACATCTTAAACTATTTATCAAACTATAGTTACGCTAAAAGAGCGATTAGGCGTGGCAATGCAAGCGCTATTTCTAAGCATTTTGCTGTTAAAATGCTAAATTGAAAGCCTACTTTCCCGTGTAAACAGCGAGAAACTCCTTTTTCGAATTTGCAGAAATCACTTTCGGGTAACCGAGATTATGCAAATCGCTTTCGAGAAATAACTTCAACTTGCCCCTGCTGCACTGGAAATTTTCATTTCTGTGGTGACAAACACTAACCGCCTAAGTCGACTTAAGAAATAATGGAGTTATGTATGCTATCGTATTTTTAACCACTATTTTATGCCCCCACCTCGCCAGCTAGGCTACTTAAAAAGTTATAGGCGAAAATATTTTGGTTTCCCCATAAGGCTAACATTACGATCCAAATGTTTAAAACGTTTTTTCTCGAATTCAGGTTTTTCGACTTAGGCGGTTATTCCTGATGACCATAGATTTATGCCGAAAGTGCGTCAAACTAATCGTGTGTTGCCGTGTGACCCGAATTCTGGAAAATTTGAATAGAAATATAGAAATTTTGCAGCTTATATAAAAAAAAAAATAATTGTTATTTATTTATTCTCCTGAGACATTTTGTGCGCATTTAAAATTTTTTTTCAGAGCAGCAAATTTGTTATAAGCATAATTATTACTCGCAACTTCAGAAGTTGAAAGTGTCATTTTCTGCATGTACCGTGTAAACAGACAGGAAGTATCTAGTATTGGAAAGTTCGATTTTCGGAAATAAAATCAGCTTTCGAAAGTCGCTTTACGAGTAAGGTTTAACTTCTCCTGCAATAACTTTTTTAGAAATTCTTGAGATTGACAGATTTTTCAAAGGGATTTGTACTTGGCACATCGAACTGCAATTTAAGTAACTTATCCCCAGTTTCTCTAATTATCAGACTGTTAAAATTTAAAGTGACAAATTTTCCAAACAATTTTGGCTGCATTTCTTTATTTATTCTGAACGTTCCCGATGATATGTTAACGTATATTTCAAACGAATTCTGTTTATTGTGGCTGTGAAATGGAATTATCTGGAATGTATAAAGAAACGGAACCATTGTGTCATTTTCTATTTAACAAGCCGATAAATTTAAAATTGATTTTTGCAACTGAGCATTATCGCCGTTTTCTCAAGAGGCTTTTAAAATGTATCTACCCTTCAAACAAAAATTTTGTTCTGAAAAAATGTGTTTGAAGTGCAGATACATTTTAAAACCAATTTGAGAAAACGGCACTTAGAGCAGCAAAGAGTAGAATTATCTTTGGAGATGTGTACTTATCAATAAGTTTTCCTTGTTTAAAATAAACCAAAATATCAAATTTTATTTTTCATGCTTGTTTACCTATTCATGTTCTTTACTTATTTTCGAGTGTGTGTTTCTTTTGCTCTTTCGCCTTATGAGCTTGAGAAAAAAGAATTAGAATCACATATTCGCGATAACAAAAAGAAAAAAAATATGAGAACACTATTCGCAGTATCAGCTTTATGAGTCATTGCATTATGCGATTAGCTTTCAGTTGGTTTTCCTTTCCAACACAAATTCGTTGTTTCCTTTACTCTTCATAAAATTTTGCTAATTATCTTTTCTTTGTAAATGTTTATTTTAAAGAACACCAGAAAAGTTAATATCATCGTTCCCAACGTTGAAATTGCGTTCTCTAACGCAGAAGATCTCGAATCCACGCTGGGTGGTACCAGTGTTGCCTGAACAGGAGTTGGAAGTGTTGCTAAATGCAGCTATTGCACTAACTGCAGCAGGTAAGCATTCTATATCGGGATGTAATGTAAAATATTTATTGTAAAATAAATCTAAAAACTGTTAACTCTCCTCTTTTAAGGTGTCGATCATGATTGTGAACCATGCGTAGAATTTTATCGCAACGCTCTAACCACGTCGTTTTCGAAGATCCTCACCGACGAGGCAGTAAATTCGTGGAAATATAATATCCATCATTGCATTTTATTGTCTTGCGGCAAATTATTGCATTTAATTGCCATACATATGTCGCGCGATAATCCTTATCTGTTGGATTTGCTTGCCATGGTATTTGATCCGGAAAATAAGTTCAACACATTTAATGCTGCCCGTCAACCGGCTTGTTTTGCACCTCCGGAATCGCTCTGGGGTGTCTTGGACGGCAACAAGATGTTTGCTAAACCCCCGCCAGAGCCTAAAAATCCTCGAGGCTGGCTAGTTGATTTGATCAATCGTTTCGGTCAGTTGAGTGGTTTTGACAATCTATTGGAGCGGTTTAATTGCGGTTTGCAACTGCTAAAAAAGAACCAAGAGAATAGCGGCGTCGAGTCGTCGGGTTCTGGCTTAGATTTGAGAAGCAAGACAAGCAAGTCATCTCAAGTGTCCGATGATAATCAGGATAACAAATTAACACTAGCGCTGATCTTCAGTCTACTGCGACCATTCGGCCAATGTTATGAGCTGTTGACACCTGCTACCATCGCTAAGTACTTCATGCCGATTTGGAATGTTGTATTGGATTTGTTGGATAGTTTCTCCGATGATGAATTGAAGCGTGAAGCGAAACCGGAGGGACGCAACGACTACATTAACGGCATTGTAAAGTCGGCACGTTTATTGGCGAGTCGTTTGCCCGGGCAAGAGGATTTGATTCGCGATCTGGAAATGTTTCGACTAAAAATGATATTGCGTTTGCTGCAAGTTTCAAGCTTCAACGGAAAAATGAATGCACTCAATGAAATCAATAAGGTGCTTAGCTCTGTGTCGTATTATTCGCATCGTACGCAGCAATTGCAACATTGCTTGCCGGATGATGAAATGGACTGGTTGACGGCAGAACGCATGGCGGTAAGTGATAAGTAGCGGAAATACAATACGGAAATACAATAAACAATTCTAAATTTTATATATTTAACCGCCACAGTACAAAAACGCTGAAAGTTTTAATGATTTTTGTTAATTCCTTTTTATAGAATTGGATCAAAGACTCTGATGTGTTGGGAATCGTTCTCAAAGACTCATTGCATCAGCCCCAATATGTGGAAAAGCTTGAAAAGATCATACGCTTTTTGATCAAAGAACATGCCTTGACTCTGGAGGATTTGGATGCCGTATGGCGTGCACAGGCTGGCAAGCATGAGGCGATTGTGAAGAATGTCCATGATCTTTTGGCAAAATTGGCTTGGGATTTTACCCCCGAACAGCTGGATCACCTCTTCGAATCGTTTCAGGTAGAAAATACAATTTACTTAAGATTTAATCGCATGTAAAAAATATATATATATTTGATTGTAGGCCAGCATGACAACCGCCAATAAGCGGCAGCGCGAACGCCTGCTAGAACTGATACGACGGCTCGCTGAGGACGATAAAAACGGTGTAATGGCACAAAAAGTTTTGAAACTTTTCTGGACGCTCGCACACAGCCAAGAAATACCGCCAGAAGTATTAGATCAAGCCTTAGCGGCCCATGTAAAGATCTTGGACTACAGTTGCTCGCAGGAGCGTGATGCACAAAAGATTGTGTGGTTGGATAAATGCGTACAGGAGTTGAAAACTGGCGACAATTGGGTGCTGCCAGCCTTGCGGTTGATACGTGAAATCTGTTGTCTTTATGATTCGTCGCCCAGTCATGCGCCGCGCACGCAACAAACACTTAATCGTCAACAAGTGATAGAAAGATTGCAAAATGACTACACTTTGGTTATACTTGTAACGAATAGCTTAACCACATACATGGATAAAATTCGTACGATGATTGCTGAGATGCCGAACGTCGAACCGAATGCATTATGCATCGATGGACGTTATCCACACAATATGCAAATACAAGAGCGATTGGATTTTCTCAAATTCCTGCTGAAGGATGGCCAGTTGTGGTTGTGTGCCGAACAAGTAAGTGAAGTAGTAATAATTTTTTAAGCAATGGTACAGAATGTAACTTTTTAGAAATTAATTAGCAAAATTTTAATGAAATACATATCGTCCTTAAATTACAAAACCGCGTATCAACAAAATGCAAAACCGCGTATGTGAGGTTTCTAAATTATTTTCTAGAGAGTAAAAATACTCATATTTCAAAATGGTTTCTTGCTAGTATATTTCAGGGCGAATGGATAAGGATTGAGCCAAGAGCTTGTGTGAGCAAATCCAATTTTGGTAGTAAATGTCAATTACACGGTTTTGCAGAATGACGATACGCGGTTTCTTACTTTAAACGACGATATGTGGAATATTTCGTTTAGCTGATGTCCAAAACTAAATGATTCTGGTTTCTTTTGTCAGTTTCGGGCTGTTGAGAGCCACTTTGACAATGATTATTTAATTATTTATTTATGCTTAACGCTTAACGCCAAACAGCTTTACGCTTAAAAACAATCGCACATGATAAGTATAAAAGTATAAAATAGATAAGAACAATATGTTTCGGACTTTTAAAATATGATTTCATGTAGGATCCGTTATATCTACTATTTTTAAAGTGGGGTTATCGACGTGTAGAGTTGATCCTTTACATTTTTCGTGAACTGGTAACATCCAGCGAATAAGTTCAATGTAGAGCTGTGTTCGTTAAATAATCTAGCGATTCTGCTTCTGGGTCCATTCCACATGTAGTTCTTTGTAGTCTTTTTAATTTCAATTAGTCGATTATGTCGGAGGCCTGCTCGTGGACAAATGAGAGAATATTGAGCTAAAATTTCAGGTGAGATAACGATGCCGTTAACAAGTTTATAAAAGAAAAGCAGGTCACAAGCCTGTCTTCTACACGACAGGCTGTTAATTTTGTAGTGGTTATAGACCTCATCCGTGCTCATCGCTGCTCCCACTGAATTTAAAAACCAGGATACAGTCGCCGGCTATCATTCAAAGCGTTCAGACGTCGTTTTCAGGGAATAGTTTGTGAGTAGCATTTACCAGTGTGTTAAACTCCCGCAAATCGTATAACTTCTTTTGCTATCTTCTTTGCATTTCATTCTTATTATTGTGCATTGAATACACGTGTTTGGCCGCACATAGAAGTTAACATTGTAATCATGGCGCCGGGGCCTCCGGATAGGTCTCCGAATCGTTTTTCTGCTTTGGTAGATTTTCTGGATAGCCCTCCCAAAAGGAAAAAGAGACCTAACTCGAAGCAAGACGCTTTTCCGCAACCCACACAAAGATGTGTTTCACAACACAACCCGAAATTTATACTTTAATATCATCCACAGACAATAACAAATCTCTATCTCAATTAGGCGCATTCGCTATTAAAAAATGTATAGAAGCTATCGCAACGGAAATAGATTCAATTTCCCAACTCCGCGACGGTAATGTACTTGTATTAACCCGCAACGAACGAATTGCCGAAAAGTTCCTAAAAGCTAAATCTTTTTCCAATCTGTGCCCTATTAGCGTGAAACTACACGAAAGCTTAAATTCGGTAAAAGGTATTATATACTCACCCTGCTTAAAACACGTGGCGGAAGAGGAAATAATTAGTGAAATGAAGGATCAACATGCAACTGGTGTTTATAAATTCACTCGTCAAGTCGATGGTAAATCTTTCCACACTGGGCAAATGGTCCTAACTTTTGACCTTTATCGCCATCCTGATTCCGTTGATGTAGCATGGTACAAAGTTAAGGTGTAACCTTATATCCCGACTCCAATGCGCTGTAAGAACTGCCAGAGGTTGGGGCATACACAAAGACGATGCGCTAGCAACCCCTCGTGCTACAACTGCAACCTCCCACCATACAACCCTGAGAAGTGCATCCGAACCCAGTGTGCTAACTGCTCAGAAGAACACCCTTCTGCAGATAAAAGCTGCCCAAAATTTATCCAAGCCAGGGAAATCCTTAAAATTAAAACCATAGAAAAATGTAGCATGAGGGAAGCACGTCGCAAGTACAAAAAAAAAAAAACGTACCGCTCCTTCCACGTATTGGCTCTTACGCCAGCATTACAAAGAATACCACATCCACGAAAAATGTTGCTTCCACAAGCGCAAATAGTAAAAACTCTACTGAAATCATAGTCCCAGAAGATATTTCTGCATCACCAACCCAAAAAAATGACAATAATGGCAAACTAAACAACAAACTTCCTGATAGACAAACCTTTACTTACAACAATTCAAATAATTCCAGTACTCCGTCAACAAATAATTTGGCCACTAAACCGACCCCTATAACCTTTATCCAAATGAAACACCTTTTGCTACAACTTCTACCAGCAATATTCCGCATCAACAAACTCCGATGCCGAGCACTCAGCAAACCCATGCAGTAGATCTAACTTCGATGTCCCCATATCCCTTTTTACACAAAATCTCATAAAAAATAATGAATATTTCATTAAAGAACAGGATAATACCGAAATTTTCAAAAGTAATATACCTGACATATAAAACAACTTTATTTCAAAAGACTATTTATTTCTCGCTTCTGTAAACTTAAGTTTACAAAAAGTAGAGAACTTTTCCAGTCTTTACGCCATGAACTTAAATATTCTACAGTGGAATAAGAAAGGTTTCTTTAACAATTTCACAGAACTGCAGATGCTTATAAAGCAACACAACGCGAGCATTATTGCACTTCAAGAAACCCATTGTTGTTACAGCCACACCCCATCTCTACCAAATAATTATTCCAAATATTTTACAAACGCCGCAGCAAACACAACAGCAAAACAAGGTGTTGGTTTATTAATTAAAACCACATCCCTCATAAACAAGTTGACATAAACTCGCCTCTACAAGTAGTTCTGATTGAGGTCGAACTTAGCATTAAATTTACACTAGCGTCTATTTATATCCCACCTTCCCAAAGATTTTGCAGCATCGATCTAACCGATATTTTTGATTCAGTTAACACCCCATTAATGGTACTAGGCGACTTTAACGGGTGGAGTAACATATGGGGCTCCAACTCCACCAATCACAGGGGACTCGCTATCAAAAATGCTGTCTGATCTATGCGTTCTGAACGATGGTAGCCCGACTCACTTCTCAACTCACTCTTCTTTTACCCACGTTGATATCTACTTTTGCTCACCACCTTTATTCCCACTTATAAAATGGCAAATATTTAAAGATCTTCGCAATAGCGACCACTTTCCGATTATTTAAAAATTCTCATTGAACTCCAACATTTCCCACCGTACAAAGGCCCCACCTAAGTTCCTCTTAGGTCATGCCGACTGGATTAACTATGCAAAGCAAGTCGACCTCGAAATGGAAGCTCGTTCCCTATCAAACTCCCCAAATCAAGAAGCAGCTAATGTTGCCAAAGCGATCCGAGCAGCAGCAAACCGTTGCATTCCACAGGCATCCCACCGTTCAAAAACCCATGTTCCCTGGTGGAATAAAATGCTTTCAAATCTCCGAAGAGAAAAAATGCAAGCTTGGTATAATTTCAAAATTAATCCAACGCCAACAAATCTTATTAATTTCAAAAAGCGCAATGCTATCTTCCGTAAAGAAATGAAAGCCCAAAAAAGGCTTAGCTTCCAGAAGTTTACGGAATCTGTCTCCCCCAACTCTTCTGTTTCCGATATATGGAATAGAATCAACAGACTTTGCAATAGAAATCCATACAAATCGGTCATTGCTATAAACACCAATAACTACATCTCTTCGGACCCATCAGTAATGTCAAATCATTTCGCCTCAGTGCGGTCTAACCACTCTGATGATACTAATTTCCCTAATCAGTTTAGAAGTGAAAAATTTTATGCCTTAAACCATCTAACACCTCTTGGCGAAATACACCCGAAAGCAAAGCTTATTGAAAAAGTAATCACTGCGGCAGAATTGTCGATGTGCTTCGCAATAGCGAAAGGAAAAACTCCTGGCTTCGACCGCATTTCTTACAAGATGTTAAAAGAAATGTCCCATTTTGGAAAATCTCGATTGCTGTGTATCTATAAAACTATATTTGATACCGGTAACATACCACAAAACTGGAAAGTCGCCACTGCACAGTGGTACCGTAGTAGGTCATTCGAAAAAAAAATAGTGATGTGTCATTTTGACACCATATCTTGTCTAATTACTAACAAACAGCCACTCTAACTGGGAATAGAAAAAAAAATAATTTTTTAACGCTAAAGCTCCGTTTCAACCGTCGAAAGTGAAGACTTTCCATAAGTGCTTATTATTTTTAAAACAACGCATTATTTTAAGTGAATCGCGGAGAAGATTTTGATCAAAAATATTTACTTGTCAGAACTTTTTTGACATGGAGCTGAAAGTTGAAGGTATGTAGAATATTCCAAGTATTTGATTTTTTTCTTTAAAGTGTCTTAATAGTAGTTTAAATATAATTTTAAATAAGCGGCAGAAAGTATAAAAAAAAATTGCCTTTTCCGACACAAGCTACCAGTTCAGGGGTCGTTTAGGTTTGGTTGTGGACAAGCCCCGAAGCGGTGGCAACGGCACATCCAACGACGGCAATACCGCTCGAAAATTTTTCCGAAACTCTGCTATTTTAGCAGAAATTACTGGAATAGATAAGGCTCTTATTGACAAGTGTTACCTGTAGTGCCTCTCGTCGGGTTATAAAATAGATACTAAAAAATTGAAAATGTATGCATTTGAAGTTGCGAAAAACCTAGTTGGGGCATATCCGTGGTATAATTTACCACCATCTGTTCATAAGGTTTTAATCCATGGTTCCGAGGTGATTGATTTCGCAATCTTGCTAATTTGTGAGCTCTCCGAAGAAGGTGCCGAATCATGCAATAAGCTAATGAGGCAATTTCGACGTTTCAGCATTAGAAAAAATTCTTAAAACTATGTTACTTTTGTATGCATTGTTTGTATGATCTAAAATTCAATAAAAAAAATTCTTAAATTATTTAATTTTTAATGTTTAATGTTAATTAGCTTTGAGTTTATGAAGGACTTTGTT